CATCCTCGCGGAAGTAGAGGAGAAGGAGGAAGAGGAGATTGAGGAGTAAGCGAAGTGACCATTAACGTCATCAAAAATATAAGCCATAAGGTATTGCATTTAGAGTGACTAGTGCTAATGCATTTGATTCTCCACTGAAAAAGCGAAGTGATCAAAAAGTTCTTTGTTCTCTTTTTTTCCAGAAACCGCTGTTAGCAATGTCCGAGCCGCCGATCACATTTGAACGTTGCTGATCGCGAAAAAAATATAATAAAATGAGAAGAATCTGTGTAATGTGAACAAAAATAAATTCGTTCGCATCACTATATATATAACATGTATTTTCTTTTACTCCCCATCCTCCCTCCGCGGCTCACTAGCCCAATGGGTTAGAACTCGCCTTGCTTAGCTACTCTCAATCGATTAATTGTGAAACTTGGTTGTATTTAGGTATTTAAAATAATTAATAAATATTGTTTCTAGAAAAATTACATTACGCTATATCTCGGTCGAAAAACGGTTGGAGCATATACCCTTTGTAACACTTTTCGTTCTATAACTATTTGTTTTTGTATCGTTTTTTTGTTCATGACAATATTTCCTTTTTTTGTGATATTTTTTGTTGTCTTGTACGTGACTGCAGTCCCCAAAATCTATGATACCTTACTACCACTCCGCATGACGTCATACCCCCACCTCCGAAGAATCCCCGCGCTCCGCTTTCCCTCGCCTCCGAGTATCCCCCGCGCCCCGCGCTCCCCTCAGAGTACCCGAGTTAGAACCCGCTCAGCCTACCTACTTCATTGCGTTCTCTTTCTAACCCGTTATCCTTACTGTCCCACCCGCTGCGGTCATATTCGTGGTCTCTTCCTCCCGTTGTATTTTCTCTTACGTTCTCTTTTCTTCTCACACTCGATTTTATTATAGTATTTATTCAACGATTTTTTAAATGATATGACTTAACAATGGTTTTAATTTAACAATATTTTTTAACATAATATACTAGAAATAGCCGAGCATTCCTAATTATCGAATCATTATTAAAACTTAAATTATCAAAAAGACTCAATCAGAATAAATCAGCAATTAAAAAAGGGGCTACGAGCCATATGTAATACAAAGAACATTTAATACCAATAACAAATATTGTATAATATAAAGAAAGTTTAGTATTACAAACGTTTCAACATCGATCGGGTCATTTTCAATGTACATAGTTAGTCCAAGAATTCGGTAAAATTACAAAAATATATATTGATCGCATTCCCTATCGCTCGATGTGTGTAGTCCATATGTAAAAGCATCGTTTTATGATCGACTTATGTGAAAGTGAACGCGTCTTACGGGAGATAACTTTGCCTTACCTTCGAACAATAGATTAGAGTTAACGGTTGACCTTATTAAATGTATCGAAAGTAATATTTACAAATTACCTATTGATGAACAGATCGCGATCTCGAACCACTCACTTCCGGTTTTGAATAACTTAGCTTCTTGTCCCTTACACGTACGGAGATAGATAGGAGGTTGTTGCAACTAGCGAAAGACACTAGGACCTTTTTAAGGGATGTGAATGATAGAATTGTCTTTACTCGTGCGGATAAAGGTAGTGTGACGGTAGCATTAGATAGACAGGTATATATTTCCAAAGTAAATGAGATGCTTCAGAACGAGAATACGTATGAGGTTGTTAGAAGGGATCGATAGGAGGATAGTAACGAACTTACGCGCCTTATTAGTTGGTTGGAAAAAAAAGTATATATCGGAATCCACATATAGAGGTTTGTTATGCAAT